TAACCTCTCTCCTCCTCTTTTCACAGTTGGCCTATCAACATTATTTTTCATGGGGAATTTCTGAAGGATCTCTTGCATACATTCTTTTATCTCTAGTCACTGCCAGTAACTCAGAGCTTGTGGGACAATGTGAGCATCCTACATATACAATATTTATTGCATAAATATTTTCAAGCCAAATCCTCTTGCATTCAATATTGTGGGCAGGGGCATGCAAAATTCAGGCCCGTCTTTTGTGCTCATTGTATCCCATTTCTAAGGCCCCATAGGGTGACATAGTGTGTAGTTGTTAGCAATATTCATTTTCTTCACTACCTATATTAAATTATATGTGTAACAAGTCTGCATTGATTTCTCTGTGCTGGCTGCTGCTCAGTTTATAGGGGTTCATCTACTCAGGGAAGCTTGTGGCAGAAAATCAGGTTGTGTATGCACAAGGCACTACACCTGAACATTCCTGAGCTTAGTCAAAGCTGCCTCTTAACATTCATCAGTGTCATTTAGAGACTGTTCAAAGGGCACTCTGTCTCAGCTGGGTTATTGCCATCTATATTTTCACAACTCTTAAAGTTCATTTACTCTAACTACTGCTACTGTTGGATCAGCCAAGAAGCAGTAGTGATAAGGTGGCCAAGAAAACCCCTAATATACACTGTATTATAAGAGTTAAAGCTTTGCAGGATAAGCAGTTTTACAATTTGAGTTACAAATTGAGCAAACAATTTTACCCTCTGAAGATTTTACCCTCTGAATTTTGATGCTTTGGAGAATAACATCTATATAATTGGGTTTGTTTCTTTCTTATAAAACCTTGTCTAAAAGGTAATTTTTTTCTGGTGAAGAACTACAGTTTTCTTCCTCACTTGGAATTTTACCTGCTTTTTACATATAATGTCCAAAGGCAAGGATAGTGTTTCCATTTCATTGGGGAAGAATCATCACTCCTGAGGATTGTTCTTGCATGCACTAGCCAGCTCTTTAATATTTCAGTAGTTCAAATTTAATTGCATTGAACACACACACACGCAGAAGCAGAAACACACACACACTTCTTTGGTGATGTAATCTGGATAGCATGTATCATGTTAGGATTTACATTACAACTAAAGGATGGGTTTATAACTGACTTCCTTTTGAATGAAATATGCTTCTGAACAATTGGAAAATCGAGTTATTTTTTCTAAAAATTTCTACTGTTATACATCATATATACAGACCTGTTCTAAGGCAAAAATATATTTTACGTAAAGGGTTTCTATTCGAACCATTTTTGGTGTAAATTTTGTTGTGATGGTCTAGTTCCAGGAAGAATAACAGAACCTTGATGGCACTGCCAATTGAACTGGTTTCTAGCAGTAAATATTTGTTGTCACAGACAACAGAAGTTGCTTATATCTATGCAGTTCATATTCATTGTTTCCACAAAACTTTGTTTCAGTGTATACAGTGACCATACTTCCTTTGTACAGGTTGAATTGTCTTCCAGTTCTACTTTTAAACACCAAAGATTTCTTTATACATCCACAAAGTTGTATTTACTTTGAGTGCAAGTCAATAAGCATGCATGCTGTTGGTTTAAAAGTTTAAACTGTCATCAAATACAGTTTCTTCCTTTTTGATTTGTGTTGATCACAAATGTGCACTGTGAGCAAACTGTCTTCCTTTTGATATTGCCTGTGCCAAATATGGACCCTTGTCACATTGGAAGGGAAGACGTTCAGGAGCTCTATTGCTCGTGTTTACTTCTCACACCAAAGGAAATTTGAGGAGTTACCTGTGTCTGAGTGGAGACAAACCCCACTGGCCCCTCTTTACTGGGCACATTCATTGACAATCACAAGGAAACATCGACTCCTTTTCACTAGCAGGTTTGCCCAGGACATTTTACAGGACGTGCCTGTTAAGAAGGTACACCAAGACCTGATGATCACCAGGCTGCTCTCACACTGCACACAAAACTGTTGTAGTTTGCAAAGTCCTAATTTCTTCTCATCCAGACATGTTCCCGCTGAGGCACAAGAGAGTGCACAGTGCATGTAGTCTTACAGACTTACCTGCATTGCTTGTGGTGGGACTGTAGTCCTTTGTGTGTGGTTTTGGGATTTCACTCCAAACTTAAAATCTTAAATTTCAAGATCAGTTTTTTTAGCAATTACAGGAAGCTCAAGCACATACTGTTGAAACCTATCTGCTCCAAAGTAAGCCATAAGCTTTCAAAGGAGGTGGCTGTGGAAGTGCAAATAACTACTGAGCAGATGCAGTTACTGTATACAGGAAGCTAGGATCAAGTTCAAATAAAAGCTTTGGGCAGCAGTTCTTAGCAACTGATTTTAAAGCAGTTGTAATCTTCAAAGCTATCTATTTATCTCTACAGCAGAGGCCCTGGGTATTATATACCTAATGAGTTAGACCACTTGAGCAACCTTCTTTCACATTAAAAACGTACTTTAACTTTTTCCTTTGCCAGATTAACTGTTCAGTCTATTTCTGACAGATGAGATCAGCTATATGGAATTTTAATACTCTGTTCCTTTTAAAATGTGTCTCTGTTTATCTCCTTGGGCCTGAATGGAAGTTTTAAGACTGCTGAGGTTCAAAATTGGTTGTGTACTATTACTACTACTATGGCTGTTTTGGGGTGTTTTTTCAGTAACTGTTGGTCACATACACAAAGCACAAATAAATAAGTAAAAGTAGAAATAAGGACATGATCTCGTTCCTGAAAAACTTTCCAGGTAAGGTCCTGATCCAGTGGAAGAGTTATGTGCTTAACTGTGTGTGCCATGTGTGGTTCCATTGACCTCAGAGGGAGTATTCACAGTAGTTTAACATGTGCATAAACCTTTGCAAAGTTGGAAGGTAAACTACAGCATGTCTGTTAAAATTTATTTTGCTTCAATAAACTGTAGTTTCTTTTTTCTTCCAAAAATGTTTAGAGTATTCCAGTTATTTTAAAGAACTTAAATTTCATTAGAAAACTATTAAACTATTACTTCACATAGGCACCAATAAGTGTTTTTTTCCTAAAAGCAGGATGGGAAGTTTCTACAGTTTAAATGTCAAAAAGCAGCACCCTAATAGGAAAAACTCTGTAGATTCTTATCCAATAGCCACTTAAATGGGAATACTTCAAGGGAGTGTAAATGTTTGCTTCATTAAATATTGGAACAAACTACATAGTTGAAGGTGCACAAAACCAGAGGTTAATGGTATCACCTACACTTTCAGGAGCATACTAGCAAGGGCTGAGCAGTGAACTTCTTATTTCTACTGGCAAAAAGCTACCTGTGCAAGTGCCTGTGTTTGTGGAATGAGTTATTACTTACTGACAAAACCACAGCACCTGAAACATATAGCATTCACAAACACATCTCAGAAGAGTCTTCAAGGAGTTTAACAGTGAAGGGTATCAGTGTAATCACAACACTCTTGGAATTTTATTAAATGTGCTTGCTTTGTTATGCAAGGGAAAAAAAACCACCAATTTTAGGAAACATAACTGAAAGTATCTGATTTACCATGTGTGAGTTTCACACAGCTTTATTAAACATGTCCTTTGCTCAAGTAGCTTTATACTGAATTTCTTAATCTTGAAAGAGCAAAGCATTTGGCTCAAGGTTCAATCAAATACTGCTGGCCTTCCTAGAGTGACAACTTTAATCTCCTTCATTGTCCACTTTTTTAATACTTTAAATATATTCTCATGGTAAATCCAGCACCGAGGACAGGGACTTCAAACAGTCTATTCCTTTAATTAGAAATACATATCTATACCACAATAAAAACACAATTTAAAATAGAACAGTAATAACAAAGTATGAATGAATACTAATTGCAATATAACTATGAGGGAACCACTAATATATAGCCAAGGCTGAGTTGATGGGAATTGAACGGAAAGCAGAATAGTAATCAACCAGAGAAGAAAGCCTTGTACCCTGGAGTAGATAGGAAAAATAGCTGTGGTTGATTAAGTTCCAGTCCACTGAGGCGAGGTAGGATTTTGAAATTGTGTTCTTTGGAAACTATCTCAGGGAATGTGCTTCTGGTCAGTGAAAGGACAGTTAAAAACTACATGGTGTCTGCTGGATCCCAGAGCATTAGATGGCATATATATATAGATACATATATTTACATATACACACTTACATATACACACATATCTCCCTCTCTCTCTCTCTCTCTCTCTCTAAAAACACCACCACTAGTTATTGGGTCAAAAGCTTAGACAGAGACAGAGTCACAGAATATGCTGAGTTGGAAGGGACCTACAAGGATTGTCGTGTCCAACTCCTGGCCCTGCACAGGACCATTCCCAAGAGTCACACCATGTGCCCGAGAGTATCGTCCAAATGCTCCTTGAACTCTGCCAGGCTTGGTGTTGTGACCACTTCCCTGGGGATCCTGTTCCAGTGCCCAACCACCCTCTGGATGAAAAAACTTTTTCTGCTATCCAACCTAAACCTCCCCTGACACAACTTCAGGCCCTTCCCTTGTGTCCTGTCACCGGTCACCCAGAGAAACAATCACTGTCTGATCGCACGTGTGGCCATTTCCTAGGGCAGTCTCACACCAGCGCCAATTCCCGACCCAGTGCAGATCTGCTAACGTGTATTAATCAACTCTAACTAACCTGTCTTTCCACGACCAAGCTGCCGAGCCTGGGACACCGCGGGGAACAGCACCACTGGCGACACCTGCCACGGCACCGCAGCGGGGCGGCCTGACCTACGCGCCCGAGTTTTGCTGGAATATAGCTCTGATTCCCCGCAGAGCCGCTATTAGACCGGAGGAGGCGGCAGCCCCCCGTGTCCGCACTCGCGTCGCCGGTTCCCGCGGGCACGAGCCGCTCCCGAGCGCTTCCCGATGGAAGCGGGAGCCTCCCGCCCCCCCGCCCGCCGCGCAGGCGGAAGCGCCGCGCGGGGCCGCGTTGCGCGGGGGACGGGCGAGCGGCGCACCGGCGGGCGCCATGCGGTGGACATCACGCTGCTCTTCAAGGCCAGCGTGAAGGACCGTCAAGACCCGCAAACAAGGCGCTGGGGGTGGCGGCGGGGACCAGCGCCAGGGACGAGCTGCTTCAAGCGGGGCGCCACCCGCTCCAAGAGCGACTTCACCGCCGCGCCCGGGAAGTGTGAGTTGAGGCCCCGGAGCGTCCGGCCGGGACCCGGGACAGCGAGCAGGCCCCGGAGCCGCCCACAGAGAGCCCCGGGGCACGGCTTTCCCACCACGGGTGTGGGCTGGGAGAGCCGCGGGCCGGCGCGGCTGTGGCGGCCGGGGGCGGCTCCGAGCCCGGCTGTCGCCTCCAGGCTCCTCCGGGGCGGCCCGGGGGCTCTCCGGGCCGCGGCCCCTCCTGCCAAGGCTGCGGTTCCGTGGTGCAGAACCGCCGTCCCTTCGGCCGTGCCGGCGTGCACGGGTGTTCCCTCACGCCAGCTGCCACGTAAGAGAGCGCTCCCCCAGCACTTGTGTTCGTCAGCGTTTGTAATTCCTTTTCCTACTTGCTGCCTTTAGTTTGGTTGCCTCCCCTGCCGCACGGTATGGCTGTAAAATGCCGGTCCTAGGCAAATTAAATGTACATAGGTAATCGGAACGTTTTAAGACTTGAAAAGACAAGCACTGGAAAGTTAAGGAATTACAGACCTGAAAGCTGACTGGCATTAGTAACTCAGTGCACAGTCGTTCTGTAAGAACAGTTTTGTCACAGATTGTTTTCCTCCATACTGAGTCAAAGGCAAAGTTTCAATAACATATATTTAATATTAAAGTACACTGGACTGTACTTTCAAAACTAAGAGAAAAAGGCTGCTTAATACAGTCTCTGAGGATACAGGCTTACGGAACGCATATGCAAATTTAGGACTAAATGAAGAATGCACAAGTTGTCTTGTTCTGTCACTTTCTGACCTAGGGATGATTTAGTTTTCAAGCATAGATATTAATGTCATATTTCTGTGCTCTTTGTATGTTTCCCAGTTGTGAGAGAGAGTACATAAAAACTGATGTGTTTTATAACACTTGAGTTTAGTGGCTCAGTGACTGCTTTGAGGCCTAAGCAGAGGTGTCAAGTTGAGTACCTGTTAAATGAACATATAATTATTCACCATTAGAAAAAAATGATATGTGACTTTTCAGCTGTGAGTTGCTAGGAGGGATCTATCTGTAGCAGTCAGACCTGTCCATAAAATTACATTCGTGATCTTTGTCCATGAGATCTACCTCCTCCCCCCCCACACATTTTTTCTGATTTTAACTAAAGGCAGTGTTAGAGAGAACAGGCTTCTTCAGTCTTACCCAAGGCAGAACAGAGTAGACTACTCAATTTCAATCTTCTTCATCAACAAAGCTGAAACTTTTAAATCTGCACTTGGGCTGGTGCTGAGACCACCATCTAAATGTGTGAATAAAGCACTGAAACTACAGCTAGAAGAATAAGCTGTAAATAAATTATGATTTTAACTGCTTGTTTCAGCCAAATACAGTTCAGTTTGATTATGTATGTGCCACACCCTCTTTCAAATACTTTGTTTTGCCTTGCAATTAAAAACTTAGCTGCTTTGGCCAAGACTGTGCAACTTGGGGTGTGGGGCATTGACCACCTCTCTGGGAAGCCTGTTCTGGTGTTTGACCACCCTCTCAGTAAAGAAATGCTTCCTAATGTCCATCCTAAACCTCCCACAGCATAGCTTTGAACCATTCCCACTCGTCCCATCCCTGGATACCGGAGAGAAAAGGCCGGCACCTCCTTCTTCAGGTCCCCTCCCCAGGAAACTGTAGAGAGCAAAGATGGCTCCTCAGCCATCTTTTCTCCAAACTAGACAAGCCAAAAGTCCATAGTGGAAGTTCTCCATTTGACCTGCAAATATGGAAATAGTGAAATACACGGAGTCCACACACAGAATTTCTCCTTTCAACATTATATTCTGGGTGGCTTTGCGTAGCATCTTGCAGGTAGAGCTGTACTGATGCCACTAGTGCTCCAAGCTCCAGAAGCATCAGCCAGCCCTGGCAGCACAGGTGGAGTGTGAGACTGGGTGGCTGCTTAGCTGTAGTATCAGAAGTCTCCTTTGTAGTCCATCCCATGGAGGTTTTGTGTCATGTTATTCATGTGTTTGAACACTTGACTGAACTGTGTTAAGTGATGTAATTCTATTGTATGTTGTATATTCTTTTTCTCCTTTCTGCCCCTGAAGGACTATGAGTCTTGCTCTAGGATTTGAGAACTGTGGAGATTTTTTGTTTGTTTGTTTGTTTGTTTGTTTTTTGTTTTCATTGTGTACAGTCTTAAGTGATGTTTAAGAAGGAAGATTGAAGGTGCTTAGCATTTGAGGAAGAAGCTGGCAAAATTGTAGCAGTAATCCTACACAGTGGGCACCTGTATTTATGGTGAAGTTTCATTGCTCTTGGGAGATAGAGTTATAAAGTCCTGGTTTACATTCTCAAACTTAATGTGATTTTTTTGGTGGATTGATGCAGACATAGAGAATGTAGAATATAAGGGTTTTGACTTGAATAGATATGGTGTGGGGAAGCTGGTGTAGAGATGAAAGGATATCTGTGTGCTCTTGGTATTCTGTGTTAGTCACAAGAAAATACTTCAACATTCTGTATTACTTTGTATTTTTTTGAAGCTGACTGTTTTATGCTCAGGTATACTGTATTGCTGCAGTCTCTGGGGAGCTGATGAAGGTTTTTGTATTTAAGACTAAGTTGTTAACACAAGGATGTTACGAGGTCATCTATAACCACGGTAATGTTGGTTGCAGAGACTGGTGTTGCTGGTGATGTTGTTAATCTGTGACAAAACTGATCCATATAAATCGAAGATTAATGTTATGGCTGTGAACTTGTTGAAAGGATTTTCTTTGCCCTAGCATTGACCCATCACTGTTTGTTTGGTTTGGGGTTTTTTTGGTCTGTCAGCTGCATTGTACAACCATTGAGTTGTCTGATATGTAATGAAAGATGACTTACGCTTTATGTATGGTGAATGTTTCTGGCATGTCTCCATCTCTTCACCAGTTGCATATTGACTAGGACCAGGTAAGAAATGATTCTAGAGGGATTCCCTAGAGGAAAGCTACAGTTACAGTGACATACTTTCCATTGCTTGCAATTTATAAAAGATTGTTAGAATTCATTATCTGTATGTTAGTGCTTTTTGATGAATTAAAACAAAAGCAGCATTTTTTCTCTTAGACTTTACAGTTACATGGCTATTTTTAGTGCAGTATACAGGGATATTTAAGTTTGTATTCTGTCATACTTGTACAGGCATATGTAGCTGAGGCAGGTTGATCCTGACTGGATACCAGGTGCCCACCAAAGCTGCTCTATCTCTGTCCTCCTCATCTGGACAGGGGACAGAAAATAGAACAAAAGGCTCATGGGCCATAAGGACAGGGAGAGACCACTCAGTAGTTAATGTCATGGATAAAATCGACTTAAATTGGGGAAATGAATTTAATTTGTTACCAGTCAAATCAGAATAGGATATTGAGAAATAAACCAAATTCTTAATAACACCTTTCTCCCACCTCTCCCTTCTTCACTAATTCTCTGCCTCCTCCTCACCAGTGGCACAGGGGGACTGGGAATGGGGGCTGCAGTCAGGTCATTGCACAGTGTCTCTGCTGTGCCTTCCTCCACAGGGGAGGACTCCTCACTCTCTTTCCTTGTTCCAGCATGGGGTCCCTCCCATGGGGTGCAGTCTTTCAGGAACAAGCTGGTCCTGCCTGGATCCCCTGTGGTGTCACAAGTCCTGCCAGCACAACTGCTCCACTGTGGGCTTGCTCCTCTCTCAATGGGGTCACAGGTCCTGCCAGGAGACTGCTTGAACTTCCCATGGGGTCACGGCTGCCTTTGGGCACCTCCAGTTGCTCCAGTGGGGGGTCCTCCAGGGGCTGCAGGTGGATCTCTGTTCCACCATGGACTGTCATGGGCTGCAGGGGGGCAGCTGCCTCACCATGGTCTGCACTGTGGGCAGCAGGACATCTCTGCTTCGGTGCCTCTGCTTCTGCACTTGAACTTGGTGTCTGCACAGTTGTTCCTCTCGTATATTCTCCCTCCTCTCTCCACCTGCAGTTACTGTTGTGCAGCAACACATTTGCACCCCCTTCTTAACACTTATCCCAGAGGCACAACCACTTTTGCTGCTGGGCTTGGCCTTGGCCAGTGACAGGTCCATCTTGGAGCTGGTTGGTGTTTGCTCTGTCAGACATGGGGGGGAGCTTTGGGCAGCTTCTCACAGAAGCCACTCCATAGCCCCCCTGCTACCAAAACCTTGCCACACAGACCCAATATATTTGTTCCTTCATATGGTGTCAGATTTGGGATTAAGCTAAATGATTGAAGAATTTTACTGATTAGAGCAGAAGTATTCAAGAAAAAAAAACCAGACTTGCAGTAAGTGCTCAGTGACAAACATAAGCAGCGCAGAGGCTGAGTTTGTGAGACTAGTTCACAGCTTTACAATGTCTTAAATCTGTTATTTTGGATATTTTAAAAGATGTCAGTTTTGGAAGGTGTTTGGCATTTGAGTTTCTGTTTTAGGACAATATTAGGAAATCTGACTGTTTAAGCCTTTCCTGGTTTTTTTTAATGGCAAGTATGAGCTATTGGAAATATCATCTGTGTCATATGCTGCTTAGGTATTTGAAAATATTGAAGGAAAGAGAACCTTTTATCTCTACTCACTGTTCAATATGTGTTGGAGAAATAGAATCGAGGGTCATACAGCCTATTAACAGAAATAAATATAAAAAAATGGTCAAGTAGAATTTCATGGCAGGCTTGATTGCAGCCATGAATAAAATCTCCTGATTTGCTATGGGAGGTTCTCTTCTTAAAGTTTTGCAAAAAGCTAAAAAATGAAGTGTTGTAGCATGAATTCAAAACCAATACCAGGCATATCTGAAAACATATCCTTGAGATTGGAAAAATTGAAAGGTTAAATGTTTCTTAGTCTTTAAATGCAAAATTTCAGAATGATCAAATGTCCATGTTTGAAGCTGTTGAACACATAAGGATGCCAGATTCATGAGGCTGCAACATCTGTTATTCATATAAGCTCTGTGTATGGATTCTGTAGGATGATTAACTGATTCTTCAAAAAAAATTGGTATGATAGGCCAATAT